GGGCACTCTGGGCTGGCTGCCCTCCCCCAAGGTTCGGGTTGCCCCCTTGCCCCCTGCGGCGCGGCTCCTGCGCCCGGCAAGCCACCAAGTGGGGAGGGGGGGTGGGAAGGCAAGGCGAGGACAGACGCACGGCCAGTCGGCACTAAGCAGGGGGCGACCCAGAGGCCAGGGAAACCAGGGCCCGGGCGAGATCATCCAGGGATGCTTGCTTTGCCGCCCTTTTCTGGGCGGGGCTCTTGTGACTATCGCGGCTTCTGCCTGAGGGTAGCAAAGCTGGGAAGGACGTTTTCAGCGTGGCATGGAGCGACCTGGGCTGGGAGTCGGGTTGTCCGGGGTAACGGAGCTCTGTAGTCTGAAAACCAGTTGCAACCTTCTCCTCAACTGCAACTGGTCTTCAGTTACCCTGGACAAGATGGCTGCTTTGGAGGGAGGCGTTAGGCCTCACCGCTCCCCACACCCTGCTTTCCCCCGGGCTCCACCCCCCCCCCAACCCTCCAGGAATTTCCCAACCCAGAGTTGGCAACCTTAGGTGTGGAAACAAGCAGGTGCCCACCCTTTCCCTTTTTCTTGCTGGAGAGTGATCCCCACTTTGGGGTTAGGAAGCAGTTTTTCTCCAGGCCAGTTTGGCCGGGGATCCTGGAGGGTTTTTGTCATCTGGGCATGGAGCAGGGGTCACAACAGGGGGTGTGGGTGGGGGGAGATTTGTGAATTTCCTACATTGTGGAGGGGGTTGGACTAGATGACCCTGGAGATCCCTTCCAACTCTGATTCGAGTGCTGCCCCTGTTGAACTGCTGCCTGCTGGGACCTGGTTAGAAGCCCCATTGAAGCAGCGCAGAAAGAACTGCTGGTTCCCCTTGGGGACTGGGAGTAGTGCAGCTTGGACCTGATTGGTTAAGCAGCACAGGCCCGATCTGGTTATTTCACCCCCCCCCCCCAATCCTCAGCCCTGGCGGAGTTCCAGGTGTGCTGCTCAGGAGTTACAAGAGGATAAGAAACAGCAGATGACAGTGGTTTTGAATGGATAGCCATTTTCAGCAGGTACGGCTTGTTCTGTACCACAGAGAGGAGAAGAGAAGCAAATAGTTTCTTATTAATGGCGGAAAGCACAAGAGCCGTACCTCCTTGTCTTGCTGGGGCAGGTACACGTGGAAGGCCACTCGATGGTGACCCGGGTTATGGTTTAACTGCAGGCACCGCTGTACAGTCTGTTTGGGGCCAGGAGGCTGGCCGTTAACAGAGTCAAAGCACCCCTCTCTTCACCCCTCGAAAAAAATCCCACACTAATGTTATCCAGTCTGGCGCTGTACCCATGATCAAAAAAATATTGTCCCGGGAGAGGCAGCCTGTGGTTCCAAGGTCACAACAGGTAGGTGCTTCTCCTAGCAGACGTTTGAAACAGTTACCAGCTTTTCAGCTGCTGTGTCTCTGAGGCCGAGCGGAGAAGCTTCTCACAGGGTGGAGGTAAATATGACCACTTCCTAATGGCTGGCAGATCAAAGGTTAAAGACATAGTAGCAGAAGCTGGTTGAAGTTGGCATCCCTCGTTGAAAAGATTCCTCGAATTCTCTGTGTCTCCCAATGTGAGATCCGTCCCGCCAACATGTGCTGTTCGGTGTTCATGAGTTAATTTTCAAACCTTCATCTCCGTATCTGTGAATGCTGAAAGTCTGCATATTTGACAGCGTGACCGAAGAAGAGTTAGACCTGTCGAAGTCCACTATTTCAGTGGTGTGCCTGTGCTTAAGATCATACTGTTAATGGCCATACTATCCATCATCATCAATCATGTTTTCATCCCTCCTTTTGTCCAAGGAGTGAAGTGCAGCACATACATGGCCCTCTTTTCCTCCATTAAATCCTCACAACGATCTTGTGAGGCGGGCTGGGACAATTGCTGTCTTTCAACCTAAGCTTCGCGGCTGGGTGGGGATTTGAACCTGAGACTTCTCTCTCCTAACCCAATGCTCACTCCCTACACCTCTGTAAGATTTCAAATTGAGAACAAACAAACAGGCATCTCTTCCACAATCAGTGGGATTTAAAATGCCGGTAGACTCCTGTTATTAAAGGGGAAGAAGATTCCTGACTGGAGAGCAATTAGGTAGCTGTGTTGGTCTGTCTGTAGCAGTAGAAACTCCGGACACTTGCTCTTTTCTACTCACTGAAGAGAGTTGTCTTCTCCTTTACCTTCTTTCCATAATGAATGAGAGAACAGATAAAACCTTGCACGGTTAAAAAAGCAAACAAGCCACTATCTCTTCCACAGCTGTTCTTAGAGATGCCGGAAAGCAGGAGGGCGGGGGTATGCGCAGCGCACAGTTCAGATCCATTTGAAGCTAGTCTGCTGTGAGCTGGCGCCTGTGAATTGGTTCAGCCATGTCAGAAGCCTTCTGCTGATGTGAGAGGCAGGACCGTCCCTAGAAGGCTGTTTGTGCTTGAGGAACGGGCCACATGTATGTGCCTTGAAGGCATTTTGAAATGGCATGACACTGTTATGGCTGGTGACCTTCTAAAGCTGGGTTTAACACCGTGCATCCGAAGGTTTGGCTGACTATGGGCGAGCAGCCTGTGGAGACAAAGTCTTCAGACGTTCCTGGCGGTAGCCGTCTGTTCAGAACCTGTTGGTCTTTGGATCTGAGGAAAAAGTAGAAGATTCCCAGTGACTTGTCACACTGGGTGCTTTTTACTTCTGTAAACCTGGAAGGCCCAGGCCAGCCTGATCCTGGCTGACCTTGGAAGCTGAGCAGGGTTGGCCTTGGTTGGTATTTGGATGGGAGATCATTTTTCGTTTTGTTAGTGCTTACAGATAACACTTGTCAGGGATGTTTTAGGCTGATCCACATTGAGCAGGGATATTGTACTACATGGCCTCTATGGCCCCTTCCAACTCCATGATTCTATGATCATAAATAAACTAAAACACAGTGGTTCAGGGTAGTCCCCTAACCAGGTTCACTAGGAAGGGAGATCCTCAGATTTTATTGTTATTTCACCAGTGCATTTCTTTGCTTCTGCCACCTGCCTTCCCTCCTCTCGGCCTTCTAGCATCTAAAAGTGAGCTTTTGCTCTTGCTCACTCAAGTTCCAGCCCATAAAAGTAGTCTGTCTCTCCTAATCCCTGATGGGAGAAAGCTCTGCCCGCTGAACATCCCTTTCTTGTCTGGTCCTTAAGCCATGTAAATAGTGCATAACACCTGTACTGCCGATGCATGCAGCGTAACCCAATCTGCAAACCAATGGTGAAAAGCTGAGAACAGAAACCATTCCCAGAAACAAAGCTGGGGAGTGTTTGCTCCTCTTTCAACCCACAGTCCATGTGAGTTGTGTTATTTATTTAATTCACTTTTACCCTGCTTCCCAATGGGGACCCAAAATGCCTTACAACATTCTCTTCTCCTCCATTTTACTCTCACAACACCCCTGTGAGGTAGGTTAGGCTCAGAGAGTGTGATTGACCCAAGGTCACCCATGGCGTGAGTGGGAATTTGAACTCCGGACTCCCAGATACTAGTCTAACGAGTTTGATGTAGTGGTTAGAGTGTGGACTCTGATCTGGGAAAATTGGGTTTGATTCCCAACTGCTCCACATGCAGCTGCTGGTGTGACTTTGGGTCAGTTACAAGTTCTTTCAGAGCTGTTCTCTCAATAGGAATCCTTGAAGGAGCTCTCACCCTACCGACCTCACAGGGTGTCTGTTGTGGGGAAGTGAAGGGGAAGGAGACTGTAAGCCGCTCTGAGACTCCTTCGGGTAGTGAAGAGCGGGATATAAATCCAATGCCGTCGCCGTCTTAGCCACTAACCACACCGGCTTTTAAAGCTCTGTTAGTGTTACAGCCCTTACAGTTAAATCAGACAATCATCCATAACCCTCTCAAATAAGACATTTATCATGTTATTTTTCTTTGGCACCCCCACACCCAGGTGTCTGAGAAGGCAGCATATACATTTTCTAAACAAATAGCAGTTTTAACGGGGTTTTAGAGGATTCTGTTAGGTTAGACGGAGCTGCGGTGGTTCAAGTGGTTAAGACGCTGAACTGCAGGCTGTGGAAGGTCGGTAGTTCAGCAGTTCGAGACCTGAGTGTGTCGCATGACGGAGTGAGCTCCCGTCTCTAGTTCCAGCTCCTGCCAACCTAGCAGTTCTAAAGCAAGAAATTGCAAGTAGATAAATAGGGACCCCTTCAGTGGGAAGGTCACAGCGTTCCGTGCGCCTTGGTGTTTAGTCATGCCGGCCACATGACCACGGAAACGTCTTCGGACAGCGCTGGCTCTTCGGCTTTGAAACGGAGATGAGCACCGCAACCCTAGAGTCGGATTCGACTGGCTTTCGAGCAAGGGAACCTTTACCTTTATTAGGTTAGAGTGTCTCCTGTTACTGTTGGAGCCAATGGGGGCGTGCTGCAGGATGCCCCCTTGTGGCCACAGGTGTCTGCATCAGTGGGATTGTCTTGTGTGCTTCTGTTCCTCCCAAAGTCTGGAGTGACTCCTTGAGTTTTGCACTGGGAGGAATCTGAGTTCGCTCCGAAACAAGCGGTCGCTGAGGGCCGCTCTCATGGCTTGTGAGACTCGCCCAGCCCTCTGGGGGAACTCCTCTTTCTTGGGGGAAACGCCTCTTTCTCCGGGCTGAATATTAAAACCAGATGCTGGCTGGTGGCTTTTGATTTGTGATCCTGGGGTGGGCGATGGGGCTGAGGCTTTGGGGGGGGGGGCTTGAGCAACTACGGTGTGTGCTGAGAAATGAGGGTAGCTGTGGAAGGATCGGGTGCCGCTGAGGTAGTTGGCAGGCCTGGCCTTAGGATGTGGTGAGAAGCTGTTGCTCTTCCGTGATGTGAGGAGCGGCCGACTTTTGAACTGGCTCCTGGACTTTCAGTAACAGTTCGAGTCTTCTGTAGTTCAGGGAGGAGGAATTTGATGACTGCCGTGCAAAACGTCTGCTGGTTTCTAGTAATCAAATCCTTGCTGAACAGACCGGCTGGTTTCCTTTTCTTTCCCAGTCTGCTTTTGTTGATTCTACTTCATTTCTACCCTGCT